ATGACAGAATAAACGGAACCCAAGTCCGGATACAATAATCAAATAGGAAAAGACCGGGGTCGCTATACTCATAGATACATGAGCTATAAATAGAATGTCATACCAAAAGAAAATTGACATTAATGAAACATCTAATTTTGGTTACTAAAATTGATGGCAATCATACTTCCATACAATTCTAGACTAAAAATATAGCTATTTGGTTAAATGATAGCAAGTTCATTATACAAAAAATTCTATTTTTTCCTTATATGCAAGGAGATTTCCTTCTTGGAAATAATTTTATATATAAATATCTTCTAATGCAAATACAGGAAAAAGTCATTTCATTAAGCATAAACAATGTCTTAATACATATTCCCTTGTTAGAACAACATAAATATATTTGTGATAAAAAGTTTGTGTAACGCCCTCAAAATAATAACATTAAACCCATCAATAAAGACATGCATTGATACATAAAAACTCCAGATTCCTCTATTCATCAGAGTTCCATTACAAAAAAATATTACATGTTAACGACAAAAGCAAATGCCCTACGGGCTTACAGCTTTCCAAGTTAACACTTGATTACAACAAAAGAGTGCTAACTCATTTACACATTAAGCCTTTGGCTTGAATTTACATGTAATACATCAAAAAAAATAAGACAACAAAAGTGTGTCCACCTCTAGCCTCCCAAGCTACTGTACCTGAAAATATGATTCATTATGGGTGGCCAGCCCAAGTAGAAACCATAAACAAGGTATGACAATGGACTAAGATTAGAGTTGATAGATGGCACAACATACTTACTTTTTATACACTATACATTTTCATGACATACAAGTTCCATAATTACCATTAGTTTTCATTCTTTCAATCTCTCATCTTATAACATGGCTCAGAAACCTGGCCAAACAACTCATATGAGACAGTAACTCATATCAAGCACCTCCCATTACATAACAGATAAGCATACAAGCTATATCACATACTAACAGATAAGCATACAAGCTATATCATCACTTCCACAGATATGCATATAAGCACTATTACACTTCCAATGACAAGCATATGAGCTCTGTCAACACATCACTAGATAAGCATATGAGCTCTATCTACGGAGTCCATCCCCTATCTCCTCCCAACAACATCCGGTTTAGAGGTCCATCCCCCATTTTCCCCTAAACCGCGGAGTACATCCCCTATCTCCTCCAACACAACACAATGCATATAAACAATAATTATACACATCATCAACCAATACATAACATTTAATGTATTCATTGTCTACAACAACCAAGACTATCCTCCACCGATAGCCCAAAGCAGTTATTTCTATACAGAAAAATAAATGCAACAAATGGATATATAAAATCAACATTTCCAACTAGGTGAGCGATATAAAATCCAACTACACCCTTTAATCCCATACGTTCCCAATCTCAACATTTCGGATTCAATTTCTCATTTCTCATAGTTAATTTCACAAATTAATTAACCAATGTAATTAGGGCATTTTCCATAATTAACATTACAACCCTTAGGTTCCATTTTCATTAATGTTTTAACATTAATTCCACTTTTCTATGCCAAACATGCATCTAGGCTTTTATATAGTTAAAACCCCAACTTTGTAAATTTGCACAAAAGCCTCAAACTTTCACAAATTACTAAGCCAACCTCAACATCTCAAAATACTAAAATTTAAAGACAAAGCTCATAAAGAGGAGTAGGATATCCCTACCTCAAAGTTTGAGCTCCAATGGAGATGAAGACTAAAACCAAAGTGCTTCAAATTCTGAAATTTTCATATTAAAATGTAGCCCTCGACGATCAACACAACTTTCGTAAAGACCAAAGGCGAGCAAACAACTCTTACTAGATCAAATCTAAGAGAGAAGGGCCGGTTTTAGAGTGAGAAGCTCTGAAAATGGCTTTTTGGAAAAGTAAGAGATAAGCCAACCCCAACATCTCAAAATACTAAAATTTAAAGACAAAGCTCATAAAGAGGAGTAGGATATCCCTACCTCAAAGTTTGAGCTGCAATGGAGATGAAGACTAAAACCAAAGTGCTTCAAATTCTGAAATTTTCAGATTAAAATGTAAAGACCAAAGGCGAGCAAACAACTCCTACTAGATCAAATCTAAGAGAGAAGGGCCGGTTTTAGAGTGAGAAGCTCTGAAAATGGCTTTTTGGAAAAGTAAGAGAGAGAAAAGATCTTGAAAAAGTGATCCAAAAGTCGAATCTCGGATTTATATAAAAGTCGCCCCGCTCGAGCGTCAAACTCCTCGCTCGAGCGTCACTCACAGACTCCCGCTCGAGCGTCAACAATCCCGCTCGAGCGGCGGATACACACTCCCAGAACTTTTACAGAACCAGGTTTCCGCTCGAGCGTCAAACCTCCCCGCTCGAGCGTTACACACAATATCCCGCTCGAGCGTCAAAACTCCCGCTCGAGCGCACAACACTGCAGAGGAGATACTGGAAGATGGAAAACTACGCTCGAGCTTCGGAAACCCCGCTCGAGCGTCAAAATCCCCGCTCGAGCGTGAAGGCCAAAATCTGGGCAACTACACTTGGTTCCTAAGCTCAACTAACCTGTTATACACCTACCGAACACAACCCAAGACTCAAATACAAAGAGTAAAGGATGTAAACGAGATGAACACAACAACCAATGAAAAGGGAAACCGGGATCGCTATAACCTCCCCCCCTTAAAGAATTTCGTCCCCGAAATTAAACACAAGTTTTTCAAAAACAGGTTTTCTCCATTTCTAACAATATTTCAACCCAATATTAAACATTCCGACCCATTACCGGTCAATTCCATCTCTTTTCAAGAGGTATTTCACAACATATAATACAAGTGCATTATCAACATGCTATTTTCTTCCATTTCCAACCATTTTCAACATACATGGTTCACAGTCATATCATAATCAATATACATGATACAACTCCAATTTTATAATATAGCCAACATATTCAATATCATAATCAACTCCCATATCAAGGTAAGTTCTACAACATACTTCCATTAAACCAAAACATTACCAATGTTTTATAACTTAAGACATTTATAAAGCTCTTAAGTCTAATAATATTACAAAATCTAAATACAAGATTACTCATCAATAAACAAGTCCGGATATTTCTCGCGGACTTCCAACTCACGTTCTCAAGTGGCTTCCTCCACTCCGTGATGTTTCCACAAAACCTTTACCAAAGGGATGGTCTTGCCACGCAGGACTTGATCCCGCCTATCCAAGACCCGAACCGGTCTCTCCTCATACGAGGCATCCTCATCTACCTCTAAGTCGGTCCAATCTAACACATGCGATGGATCCGGCTCATACTTCCGAAGCATACTAACATGAAAGACGTCATGCACCTCGGACAACTGCGGCGGTAAAGCTAAACGATAAGCAGCCTTGCCAATCCTCTCAAGGATCTCAAACGGACCAATGAACCGAGGGGACAACTTCCTGCTCTTCCCAAACCTCATCAAACCCCGCCTAGGTGATATCTTCAGAAAGACATGATCACCCACCTCAAACACCAAAGGTCTCCTCCTACGGTCGGCATAAGATTTCTGACGACTCTGTGCTGTAACAAGCCTCTTACGGATAAGCTCAACTTTCTCCGTCGTTTCCCTCACCAACTCCGGACCCAACAAAGGTGCATCACCCACCTCGGCCCAACAAACAGGAGATCTACACGGTCGACCTAAGAAGATCAAAATAGAATTCATGGTGATTGACACACCCTCACCATATAACATCATCTTGGGAAGACCATGGTTGTATGCGATGGGGGCAGTTCCCTCAACATTGCATCAACTGTTGCGATTCCTAACAGAGCATGGGATAGAAGAAGTCAGGGGTGATCAGCTGCAGGCAAAAAGTTGCTCCATGGCAACAATGAAGTCTATTTGCAGCGTTCGAGAGCCAGAGGAGGCAGAAATTGAAGAAGAGGACATAGAAGTCCTAGAAGACGTCGGCAAGGAGCCAGCCGAGAAGAGTGAAGAGGCACTAAAGAAAATCCTCGTCCAGGATGGAGAT